ACCCCGGATCAAACACTCTCAATAGAGAATATGTAATTTCAATTCATTTATTTTCTATTTGCAAATTTCCAATTTACTTCGTGTGCTTGTACCCCTTGGAGGCATTCTGTTTCTTTTCAATTGTAATTTTCATAAATAAAGCACCCTTTTTTTGTATTTGGTCTCAAGAGGTTTGTTCCTTATATAATCGTCTGAATTATCTTTTAATTGTTAGCGACAAATCCGTGCGAAACACATTGCCTTTAAGTTTGCCACCAGAAATGCGATTCAAGAAGGACTCCACCTCCAATCAACTTCTAGTCTTTGTTCCTGGGAATTTTGAACCCAGTCATCTATATGGATCAGGTTTGAAGTAGTTAATCTTAATCTCCTATTGTTCATTCTCCAATATATCAGTGTGAAATTGAGGAGTAAAAATAGAAGAAACCTCAACGGAGTGAAAGAGAGAAGAGGAGTGAGAATTAAGAACGTGTGCAGAGAGAGAGAGAGAGAGAGGTGCAGTGTGTATGAGTGAGGAGTGTTGTGGTATACTCTATATACATTAAAATAGTGTGATATAATTGATTTATATAAATAAAAAAATATTTTCTTTTGTGGTGGTAAAAAATTTCAAAACTAGCCAGTAAATTATTCAATTCATTGTGTTCTTCCCGAAGTACATGTTGCTTGTAAAATATCATCTATTTTTCCCAATCCTCTCCAGTTAACTTTTGAGTCTATATAAATATTTCAAATTGTAGCAGTTTTCGCCATAGTCCATTAATGTTTGGTTTTTCAATTGTGTTGGAGTCACATGTATAATCGTAAGTTCTTTAACAATATATTAATTATCCTAATTTGTGGTAGCAATTTTCATTTTTATACACTGGCTCCTCGTACTTGTGGCAGTTTCAACTTGTAGACATGGTGGCTTGCCTGGTAGAATAAAATAATTGTCCAATGCTATATATTGGTCAAACTTGGAATGTACTTTTTGTCTTATTTAGTTGGGGGTATTGACATTCAACCCAAACAATACACAAAATAGTGTCTACACTTTTTAATGTTGTTGTAATATATTTTTTTAAATATTTACCATCATTAAATTCATGGTCTAAATCCAGAGTTGATTAAATTGTGCCAGCACTGGATAATATTTCTAGCTCCGCCCCTTTACTTGGGTGAAGTCTTGTCTGCATTCTTGGCCTCGAGAGCCCACTTCCCTGAAGGAACAAGAACATTTACTAACGAAGGTGATGTATATTTCGGAATCCCAAAACCCGAAAAGAAGCTATCGAAATTAATTGGGGACAAAAACTCCACCACCAGATGGGTTGTGTAATGACAATGATATAGATTGAAATTTGAGGTTTCCTTTTCTCTGAATGTGCTCG